CTGATCAAGTTGACGTGGGAGGCAGATATTCAAGGTGCGCCTAGTATTTCATTTGGTGCACCTTGGATATCTGCCGCCCGTCCCTCGCGACCCCCCTCTCGGTGGCACTGCACACACACACACACACACACACACACACACACACACACACACACACACACAAACACACACACACACACACACACTCACACACACACACTGTCTTCCAAGACACAATATTATTTATATAATAGATCAGCTCAATTTACAAACTACAAACTAACTTTCTACTCCACTGTATTTTCTTTCAAAAGTAGACAAGACTCCTAGTTGTGGGAAAAATTTGGAACAAATAGTTATAAAACTGGTTGTTTATAGTGGGGTGTTTTCCCTGCTCGCTGTATGTATACATTATATAAAAATATACGGCTACAACTACAACAAATAATAAAATAATAGTACATATTAAATACATCAAGCTTAATAAAAAAAGAAAAGTATAATTTTGGTCCACTGTGTACTTGGTGGACTTTTTCGTAATAAACAAACAAAGGCAAAAAAAAAAAGAAGTATATTATTTTTTATTTGTTTAATAAATACTAGATACTTATACTTTTATTGAAAAATTTTAGTATATTAGCAAATATATGTTATAAAATATTAAAACAATTAGCAGAGTAAGATGAAATCGGCCGTATTTTACGAAGAATTTTATTTTATTGTTTATCGTCAATAATATTCAAATTTACCGGTAGTGTAGGTAGTGATAAATGTTTTTTCACTTCCCTGGGGTATTACCACTGATATCAATATTTACTTACTGTTGTGTTATCTTTATTATATATAATGTGCATTTGCATTTTGTACATATTATATTCTATATTATGTTAGTGTTTGTATGTTTCCTATAAGGAGATGTTATTGAGGCCAATAAAGAGTCTGTATGTGAGTTACCACTGTTTACAGGGCAAAGATAGGTATTTCAATTGGTATTAACAATTCCCAGCATCCCATATCATCTATATATCAAGGTTTATTAATAAATGTTCGCAGTGATAAATTGACCAGCAAAATTAAAAGTTGTATCGTTGCAAACTTTTAATTAAAGTTTAATTAGTTAAATATGAACAACGAAAGTAAACACAACATAATTCTAGTTTTAGTTTTCACTTTTTACTTGCTTACAAGTATTCGTAAACAAAATTAAAAAATGCATTATTAAAAATGTAAAAATCTATTAAAAGAAATGTGTAGTGTTTGTGTTGTGTGTGTGTTGTGTGTGTGTGTGTGTGTGTGTGTGTGTGTGTGTGTGTTGCATCTTAAAGATGCAAATTTTACTATTTTAAAAGTATAAATTACACCAGATCAATAAAAAAAATAATATTTGATTTCAACTTAATTAAACCTTTATTGAAAGTTTTTTATTATGTTTTGATTAAAAATTACTGAAAATTTTATTGAAATCTTAAAATAATAAATAAAGTGCATTTTTGTTGTGTATATATATATATATATATATATATATATATATATATATATATATATATATATATATATATATATATATATATATATATATAAATATATAAATATATATATATATATGTATATATATATATATATATATATATATATATATATATATATATATATATATATATATATATATATATATATATATATATATATTTATTATGATAACATAGCCCAACATGCTTGTTAAAATTTTTTACATAAATTTTAGGATATTACATCATATAAGCGTACTAGCATGGTCAGTTTTTTTATTTTTTTGCATAGAAATATACAACATAGAAATATGCAAAAAAACAACAAAACACACACATAGAAATATAGAAACAATAGAAAGCATAGAAATATACAACATAGAAATATGCAAAAAAACAACAAAACACACACATAGAAATATACAAATAAGCAGCAAATAAAAAAAAGAAAAAGGAGACTTGTATAAAAATAAGAAAACTTTAGAAATGAAATAATGATAATTAATAATAGCAGTGACTTTTTGAAATTAACAATAAAGATTTAAGCTAACAGTAATGCTACTATGATTGTTCTAAAAAAAAAAAAAGCAATAGTTATAATAAATAAAATAGATTAGCAAGGAAAAATACAAATAAATTAGAAAATATATGTTTTATTTAAACTGGAAAAATTACTGTTTTATTAAAATATGGAAGATCTTGTTTTTTACTTTAGTTCACAAAGTTTCATTTGTGAAGATGTAAATGGTACTATAATCTAATAGATGCAAATAATTTATATCGTTAACTTTTTATAATGCACTTTTTTTTAATAAGAAACTTGTTTACAAGAAACTTTTATTACTAAGTTTCTTTCCAATAAGTAACTTATTTTATTAATAGTTCAAAAACTATTTCTTCATTTTTTACCTACATATCACATCAACATAACACAAAATTAAAGACATAATCTACAATGGATAACAACAGTTTATATGAGTATTTTCTTTACATGTGCAACCAATGGATTTCCATTTTTAAAATATGCATACTTGTTTGTTAATCTTACTTATTAACATGTTTTATAATTGCATTATATTTACTTTTTCTTACTTGATAATCTAAAACTTAAGAAATTTTGATTACTAGATAAGGAAAATAACACCCTAGAAAAAAGAAGCTTTTGCTTTGCTTAGTTTTTTATAAAATAAAATAAAAAACGTGTAGTGTTAGTATCGTTAACTTTAAATGTTCAACATGTTAAAAGTGAGTTATAAAATTTTTTGAAATGATTTGTGTTTCAATTAATACTTCCAATCTTGAATGCTTCTAATACAATTAGTACTTTTCAATCTAGAAGTTGTTCTAGAACAATGGAAGTTCTAGAAAAATGGAAATGCAAGTTCCATTAGAAGTTCTAGAACAATGGAAATGCAAATTTTAAAATTATGATTATTCTATGTTTTATTATTTAATATAATATTTGAATTGTTTGAAATCTGATGATTCTGCAGTCATAACTTTCAAAAATTTCTGTTATATCATTTTAGGTACTTTACTACTTTATTTTGTTTGTAATTGTATCATTTTACAGTTGAGGAGATACAAAAAATTTTTTTTTTCAAGAATAACATTATAGTAATTATGATGAACAAAGTTTCATTTTTTTTTTTTTTTCAATGTTGAATTGTATTTTCATATTGAGGAATTTAATAATCATATGAGAGCTTTTTAAAATAAATTAAAAATATAGATATTTATTTTCAGATAAAATAAATATATTATAGAAATTATATTACAGGTGGCTTATATTTTATAATTAGTTTTATGTTTATATATATATATATATATATATATATATATATATATATATATATATATATATATATATATATATATATATATATATATATATATATATATATAATTTTTAAATCACTTTTTTTATGGAGACATTCAAAATAACTATATTATTTATTAGTAACATTTTGAAACCACTAGACAGTCTCATCATCAGTCTATAAAACTATTTAAAAAAATATATTAAAAACTTGCAAAAAGCATTTACTATTATATATTAAATGTTACCTATTAATATTCATTTCCTTTACATCTTGTCCAAGATGTTTCTGTCAATTCAAACACTGCATTTCTGTCAGAAACATTACACCCATTTAAGGTCATTGGTAGTGACTGTTTTTTAAGGCCTTTCTTTATTTCTTTGGCTTTTTAGATATATCTCATCCTAAAACACCAGAATTCTATCCACATAACTTTTTATTACTAGTACAGCTGTCAGACGTTTTCAACTAATTTCTAGATTATCTTGTTCTCTGGCTCATAGGAATAAGAGCTTTATATTAAAATTCTGTAATTTTTTCAATCACTGAAGTTGATGCTTCTTTAAACAATAACATTTTATCTTTGTGAAGATGTAAAAAAAAAAAATCATCACAAGTTTTCTGTGACATTTTAAAACTGTAGTATCCTATAATCTGAAAGCATTACATTATTTGTAAATTTTGTATGCAATAAAATATTGTTGAAATAGCGTATAATTGAATAGTGAATAGAGTATATTTAGTTAAGTTAACTTATTTACAGTAAACAGATAATTCATCTATCTTTTAAATTTTAAAAATTAAAAATAAACAAAAACCAACAGTAGAAATACTAATCAGTTAGTCCAAAAAACATAAAAAAGATCAAAACTTTTTCTCACCTATACAATCAGTTTTGAAGTCCAGCAAAGTACTTATGTTTACATTAAGTCAGAAGTAAAAGTTACTCTAAACAAATGTAGATTGTATTCCCTGACGTTGATGTGTCATATATGGACTACATATATGACAAATCTACTAATTAGCTGAAAGTCTGGAAACACTGTTATGGGATAATAATGATTGACAACTTATTAGAACTAAAATGTATTATTTAATAGGCTAAATTGTATTATTTAGTAAGCTTTTGAAAATGTTTGCATGTTGGATTTTGAAAGTAATAAAAAGGTTTAGTTTATATACAGGGTTCATACTGTACCTGGTGAAACCTAGAAAACCTGGAAAAGTCAGGGAATTTTTCTTTTCTCTTTAGATAGTCATGGAAAAGTCAGGGAATTCTGATTGAGAAGTTACTTAATTTACAATTAAGCTATTGTGTTTTTTTTGGTGCTTTATTTTTTCTGAAATTTTTGTTTTTCTTAGTGTTCATTCTTATTCATCCTTAATATAATTCATACTAACATGTATAGTAAGATCCATACAAATATCCAACTTAAGTAATAGGTAAGTTTTATAAGTTTTGTCATTCAAATCATGTTCAATTTTAGCATTTCCATTACAGTAGATCGTAATTTTAAACATTTCATAAAAACCATTGTTGAAAATGGTAAGGGAAATTCATATGATTTTTCAGAAAGTCAGGGAATTTTATATATTTAGCTATGAACCCTGTATATAAATATGAATAAATGTAATGATCTTGTGCAACCTCTAAACATTTTCTTGTGCAACCTCTAAACAATCCTTAAGATTTTCTACTCAGATGTTTTTTTGTTTTTATAGCTAAATGATAAAATCCAGCGCTCAATTGCTTGGTGAACAAGATGATCTTGCTAACTTCATCATTCTTGACACACTACTGGGGTATGAGACTCACAAAATGGGTTTCATAAAATTGCCATCAAAACCTGATGTAAATGCTGTTAAAAGTATTGCATTAATGTATCGAAAATATGGAGATGAACACACTGTATTGAATGAGTTGATCAATCTTTTGGGCTCATGGTGGCATTCCTTTAAGACAAGCCATTCTGCACCTCAAGTTATAACTCAAAAGGAACATGTATGTATATTTAGAAAATAAAAGTAGAAAAGTAATTTTTTTTTTTATATTTTAAATATATATAAAAATTTATGAATGCTCATCCTAAATTATATAAATATACAGTTATCTGTCTTCACTTGTACTCACAAATAAGTGAAACATAAAAATATTATTATTTTTAAATTAAAAAATTGAAACATAAAAATATTATTTTTTCGTAACTTTTTTAATTGGTTCTATTTAATTTTAGCTATTGCATTACATGAGAATTTTTGACCCAGATTCCGGCTTTGCAATTGTTCCATGTACTAGATATACAACTGAGGAGGTTGGAGCTAAAGTTCTTAGTACTCGAAAATGGTAATGATTTGTTTTGATAAAGTTATATACGAATATATCAGCCAGGGATGCAGAATCCCAAAAGGACTCCGGCTTTATATCAACTTAAATATAAACAGCTTTTTCAGAAAATGAAGAAAAAACAAAGAATAATGAAAAAAAAAAAAAATTTACTTAATAAAAGTTCTTTATATCTAGATATTGAAACCCTTAGTGATGTATGCACTGTAGTCCCATAGCTCCATATTTCAATTTGATGTTTAACTAAGCAAAGATATTTATATCACTCTTAGTTAATTTATGTCCTGAAATTCTAGCAGATAACTGTTTCATCATAATGTTATCAGTGATGTTTTATATGCAGCAAAATCTTCATTTATTATATATATATATATATATATATATATATATATATATATATATATATATATATATATATATATATATATATATATATATATATTATATATATATATATATATATATATATATATATATATATATATATATATATATATATATATATATTAGGGTGGGTCATAAATTTTTTTTTTTCTTGTTACAGGCTCTAAACATTGCTAATAGTTATTAATATTGATACTATCAAATATGAGAATAATTGTGATAGATTTAAAGGGCACAACTTTATTGGGAAAATTACCGGTACCCTAATATTTTAGAAAAAAAAAAGTTTTTCTAAAAAAGGTCAACCTGGTACTCAAAAGAAGCGAAATTTTATAAAAAATTCGAAAATAATAATCCTTTTATAAAAATCATATTGCCGAAGTTGTTATTAAAAAATATGTAAAAATGCACCTTTTTTACTTTTAGTTAAAAAACTATAGTTATTATGCAATTAAATCTAAAATAATAATTTTTATATGAAAAAATTATTATTTTTGAAATGTTTATAAAATTTCGCTTTATTTGAGTACCTACATCACATAATTTTGAAAAACTTTTTTTTTTGAATAATAATAGGGCCTGCTAATTTTTGTAATTATAGTTGCGGGTGAAAGACATTGTTCAATCCATAAAAGTAAATACTTTCCTAAATTAGTACATAAAAAAACAACTTTCTAGACCATAGCCAGGTTAGCAACTCTAAAAAAAAAATTTATGACCCACCCTAATATATATATATATATAAATATATATATATATATATATATATATATATATATATATATATATATATATATATACACAGGCTTGGTGGGGAAGCGGGAGCGATCGCTCTCGAATACTGACCACGGAAATTATATTTGGTTGCGTAAAACTGGCCAGGTTTTTTAGTCGTTTTGAGAACATTTAAGTTTATGTACGAAACAAAAGATTTTTGTTTTACGGACATACATGGAAACATAAAAAACTTGAATGTTCTAAAACATCTTTGTGCGAAAGAATAAAAAGAATATTTGCGAACACTAAAAACCCGCCAAATTAACGAACAAACTAATTCTATTGGTTCAAAAAATACGCTGATTAAGCGAAGTAAAGTTCTAGACTATTTTGTTAAAATGTTTCAGAAATTGTATTATACACGATTTGTTACGTTTTGAGATTTCTAGCATTGTTTTAAGAATATATATTATTTGTTTAGGAAAATAAATGTTTTAAATATATATTGATTAAACTGTTAAAATTTTAAAAGTTTATTATAAATCATAGATTTTATTAGTATATTCTTATTTTTTATTTTAAAAGAGATTGTATTCTTTATGTAAATGTAATTTTGTGTATTTGTTTTTTATCGTAATGTATCTTTTAAAGCAATTTTTATGATTTAAACAAAGACTTACAAAAATAATTGCGTTTTCAATGAAGTTATAATCGTTAAAGTTGATAAAACTAATTATGTAACAAACATATAAGTAGTTTCTTGTTACTAAACACAAACAACGCATACAAAGTAACTCGCGGATGAACAAGCATCGCGCCTGAGGTCACGACAGAACACAAATATATATAGCAAATAATTAGATATAAAGAAAAGTTTCTAGATATTGGTTTACTTACTCTAATTATTTTCGCTTAAGTTGCCATTCTTAAAACTCGTTATACCTTTTTTCTGCTTTAAATACTAATTAAAATTAAAAAGCCCACTCACTAAACATCATCAGCGATATTGTGAAGCAGTTTTGCTTCCTCGTCTTTAAGTATTTTTAACCTTTTTAGTTGATTTCTATCTTGATTATTTAATTCCTATAGTAATTCAATGATTTAATTATTTCATTTGTTTATCTTACTAAGAAGAATCGCTTCAAATATGTTAAACTTTTCAAACTACGCGAAACGCGAAACAAATAGGTATTAAAAAAATTAATTTTTTTATTTATAAAATAATTTAGCTTAAGTTAAACTAAAACTTGCAAACTTAGTTAAATAAAGAATATTTATTTCCCTTTTAAACAATCGTAAGTTGTTACTTTATATAAAAAACATCGCTTATTTTTATTTTTTTTGTAATTGTCTCTCATCGGTCCAATTAATCTTTGTTGCTTTTTTTTTTTTGCTTTTTAAAATGTTCTCAAAACGACTAGCAATCTGGCCAGCTTTTTGCAACTAAATATTATTTACGTGGTCAGCAATCGAGAGCGATCGCTCCCGCTTCCCGACCAAGCCTGTATATATATATATATATATATATATATATATATATATATATATATATATATATATATATATATATACACATATATATATATATATATATATATATATATATATATATATATATATATATATATATATATATATATCTGTGTGTGTGTATTTATATGTGTGTGTGTATATATATATATATATATATATATATATATATATATATATATATATATATATATATATATATATATAGCTTTTTAAAAAGCTTTTGGTTTTTGCACGAGCTATGATGAGATATATCTAAAAAGCCAAAGAAACAAAGAAAGGCCTTCAAATAACAGTAACTACCAATGACCTTAAATGGGTGTAATGTTTCTGACAGAAATGCAGTGTTTGAATTGACAGAAACATCTTGGACAAGTTGTTTATTCATTAAACAAATTGGTTATTAAATAAAAAAAGTTCCTTTTGGCTAGTGTCATGAACAAAATTATAACGCAACAATTTAGTGCATAATAACTTTATATTATATATATGAGTTTGTGCAAAATGAAAAAAAAACAGCAGTTATAACATTCAAAGAAAATCTTTTATTTTTTCAAATGAATTAAAAAAAAAAAAGTTTAATATTTTAAAAATCTCTCTGCACTGTAGTTAAAAAGAAAAGAAGTTCTTTTGTTTACTAATTCTACTAAAACCTAAAACTTTGCTTTATAGTTATGTAATATATATATTCATATTTCTAATACTAAAATTCTTCTTTACGAAAAAATAAACAATTGTTGCATTATAAAATAAGCCATTTGTATAGTTAAAATATAATCTCAAGCACTACAAAGCAATCAGTAACTGTTACGAAAAATAAATAAACAATCGCATTTAGTAAGCAAAAAAGTTAATATGAAACTAAAACTTTTTATTTTGTTCGATGTAGTTGACAAAAGAATTATTTTTCTGATCGATATATAAAAAAAAGAGAAAAATAAAGTGATTTATATTTATGAAAAACTTATAACTTTGCGAGAGCTCCCATTAACCACTTTAGGGGAGTGTGGTCAAGAGCAATCGCTAAAGTTCTTGCTTCCCGCCAAGGCCTGTATATATATACACCAACAAAATTATAATTGCTATTTTAACAAAATTGTTATTTTAGATAAATAGGGATATAAAAATAATTTACATTAGTAAAGGTGATCAGTAATGTTTTTCTAATAATTCTTGACTTTAGATTTAAGGGGCTTATGAAATTCTAATATGCATTATACCAAAGTTTATGGATAATTTTTTTTTAAGTTTAAACATCATTTTTATTTAACAAACTTAAAACAAAAAAATAAATTTAGCTAAAATTACAATATTGGGATATTTCTTCAAGTATTTTTTTCCATATCTTTAGGGAAAATGGAGCTAAAATTAAGTATTTGGTAGGTTGCATAGCTGAACTTACTGAAGAAGAGGAAACTAAACTTCTTGTTCCTGGTGAAAATGATTTTAGTGTAATGTTCTCAACCAGAAAAAACTGCTCTCAACTCTGGCTTGGTCCTGCTGCATACATAAATCATGGTAATATATTTATGATTAGTTTTGGTATGATATTTAAGATTAAAAATAGTTATAAATTTAGGACAAAAATTTATAGTTAAATTTAACATTAAGTTCACTTTATTTTATTAACTCACAATTTTTTTTTTTAATGTTGAAAATGATAGCTAAAATTAAAATATTTAAAAGTGTTTTAATATTATCTAAAGCAATTGGCATTACTGTTACTTAATTATTACTTAAGTGTTACTTAATTATAGTTAAGTGTTACTTAAGTGTTACTTAATTATAACTTAAGTGTTACTTAATTATAACTTAAGTGTTACTTAATTATTACTTAAGTATTACTTAATTATAACTTAAGTGTTACTTAATTATTACTTAAGTATTGCTTAATTATAAATTAAGTGTTATTTAATTATTACTTAAGTATTACTTAATTATAACTTAAGTGTTACTTAATTATAACTTAAGTGTTACTTAATTAAACCCGTCATTTCAAAATAAAGGGCACAAGTCACACTTTTTTCGAATTTCACTTTTTAATGCAATTTTATTTATTCGAGTGTTTTACATATTCCCTTTGAAGGAGAAACATTTTCATATGCCACAAGTCAACTTAAAATGCAAATGAAAATTAAAGTCTGTTTGAAAATGGCACAAGTCCCGGACTTATGCCTTTTTCAAGTGAAACGAAGCGCAACTGTAGTGACGTAATCTCACTTTATTTGTAACAAAAATGGAAAATCACGAGCTTGCTGAAAATGCATATAAATCTAGAAAAAGAGTGTTTGGTATAAGAAACAGTGGAAAGTATAAACACGAAAAAATAAAAAAAGCCAAATTGCTGGAGAAGCTTATAAAAACCATAAAGGAAATGATGTGGCACCAAGGCAAACAGGTGCTTCTTGCAGGTTAGTTTTTTGTTCTATAATATAGAATGACTATATTCGTTCTCAAATATTTGCTTATTTACTCATGTTTACCACCAATATTTGGAGGTAAAACATCTTGATATATAACTATTATAATATTAACTCAATAATTCTATTTATTTACAGATGTAATTCGAAGTGTATGGAGCTTGTATCTGAAGATGTTATAGAAAGTACAATTCAGTTTGTTAACAGATTTGATTGTAAAAATGCCCAAGACACATACTTGCAGTCATTAATTGAAAAGAAGGAAATAAAGAGAAGACGGTTTAGATCTGAAGATCCTAAGGAAAAAGAATTTTCTTTTATTTATCACATTAAGGTTTAAGGTGTGATAAAAAAAGTGTGCAAGAAAGCTTTTTGCAGTATGCATGGAATTTCTATGAAACAAGTTAGGCGTTTATGCATTTTATTAAAAAAAAAGAGCAGCTTATAGATCACAGAGGTAAATCTCAGAAATCACAATGCAACGCAATAGTTGGAGATACATTAACAAAAGTACGTGAGCATATTGAATCATTTCCTGTTAAATATGTGCACTTCTATAGTAAAGATGCATCATCTTATTATTTGGATGAAAAACTCAATGTGAAAATTATGCACACGTTATACGCACAAAAATACCTAGATCATCCTGTTAAATATAAGTTCTACCTTAAATTTTTCCAAGAAAATTTTAGTTTATCATTTGGTAGAAAGCAAATAGATGTCTGTGGACTGTGCGAAGAGTTAAAAATTAAAATTAAAAAACCCACACCTTAATGACAATGCAAAAAGAATCTATTAAGCAGATATTGAGATCCACAAAAGACAAGCAAACAAATTTTACAAAAAAATACAGGAAGTTGAAACTAAGTGCAAAAACGATTCAAATGTGTATGGGATTGCATTTGATTTTATGCAAAATTTGCCACTTCCACATATCTCTGTCCAGGAAATATTTTATTTACGTCAACTATGGCTGTATGAGTTTTGCATATATGATTTTAAAACTGGTAAATCAGTATTTTATTCATATTGTGAAGGAGTTGCTAACAAAGGTTCCAACGAAGTATGTACCTTTGTGCTGGATTATATTTTTAAAAATATTGGCAACGAAGCCAAAGAATTGCACCTATTTTCTGATGGTTGTGCAGGCCAAAACAGAAATCATGTCATGGTCTGAATACTTTTATCACTGGTAGCTGAACTAGATAGCAATATAAATGAGATACAATATTACATACCAAAAAGAGGTCACTCATTCTTGCCTAATGATAGAATGTTTGGAACAGCAAAGCGACATATTCGAAAAAATGATCGGATTTACACACCAACAGAGTATGAAAATCTTATAACTGAAGCAAGCGAAAAATTTGAAATTAGAAGGCCCAAAACTGAAGATATTATTGATGTAAAAAAAATGGTGGCCAAACAATTATAACAAACTTGTGCTATCTGTGGATTCCTATGGAAAAGGAGTACCCAAGGACAAAAAAGTTACTTTTGGTATTTCTAAAGTGTCACATTTCACATTCTCTAAGACCATACCAGGTTTAGTGACAACACGTGAATCCATAGATTGTTTAGTCAGTTATGATTTTCAGCTATTACAAAGGATGGGTACAAGGCCAACCTTACCATTAAGTAGTACTCCTGCATATGTTGGAAAATTGCCTATCAATGAAAAAAAGATATCAGATTTGAAAAAAATAGAAAAATATATTCCATATTCAATAGAAGAGTACCAAAATTTCTATACAAAGGTTTTTGCTTGGCCAACAACTTTGACAAACAATGAATTAAGTGATGATTAACTAACAATAATTGTTTTTATGTAATAATAAATCATTATTATTCTGATAATCTTTGAATTTTTATATACAAAAAAGTGTTCATTTCGAAAAAGACATAAGTCCATAAATTTAAATTAAAAATATATGTGTTATATATTGTTTTTTTATAATAAATAAAACTCTAAAAACTTATGACTTTTATTTATCTACTCTTATATTCAGTTTCTTCAGCACCATAAACTTTTTTTCTTATAAATTTATTTTTGTTGCTCCTGAAAAGTTTGAATAAATGGACTTGTGCCCTTTTCGAAATGACAGGTTCAATTATTACTTAAGTGTTACTTAAGTATTACTTAATTATTACTTAAGTGTTACTTAAGTATTACTTAATTATTACTTAAGTATTGCTTAATTATAAATTAAGTGTTATTTAATTATTACTTAAGTATTACTTAATTATAACTTAAGTGTTACTTAATTATTACTTAAGTATTACTTAATTATAACTTAAGTGTTACTTAATTATTACTTAAGTATTGCTTAATTATAAATTAAGTGTTATTTAATTATTACTTAAGTATTACTTAATTATAACTTAAGTGTTACTTAATTATTACTTAAGTATTACTTAATTATAACTTAAGTGTTACTTAATTATTACTTAAGTGTTACTTAATTATTAGGTAAGTGTTACTTAATTATTATAATTAATAAAATTTTAAAATCATCATTGTGCTTATTGTTTTATTCAAATGCTGTTAAAAAGTTATTAAAGATAATAATATTAAATATATCAAAAATAAATAAAAGTATTAAAGATATTTATAAAAAATATTAAAATATTAGAGAATTAATAAAAAGTATAAAAAGTATAAAAAAACTGGTAGACAATTAAACTTTTTTTTTCTTTTTAGATTGTCGTCCAAATTGTAAGGTAAGGCCTAATATTTATGTTTGTAAAAAACAACTTTGTTGATTATATAGTATAATTAAATTTATGTTTAATGAACATACATGGTTTACATGGTTACATTAATCTAAATCTTTAGAATGAGTAATCAAAATTTTCAAATAATATTAGTTCCCATCTTGAGTCTGATAACATAATCTCCGACAATCAGTATGGCTTTCAATCTTCTTGTTATATGACTGACTACAGCTGACTGCTGTGACTGAACGATTCTAATGTGCATTAGATGATGGGGGCGAGGCAAGAGCTATTGCTCTTGACATATCTAAAGCGTTCTGTAAAGTTTGGCATGCTGGTCTTCTCCAAAGGCTTGCTTTATATGGTTTATCTAGAAAATATTTTGAGATAATTGAATCATTTCTTTTTAACTACCTTTTTTAAATCATCCTTGAATGCTTACACTCTTCTTTAATTTCTGTAACTTCTGGAGTGCCACAAGGTTCTATGCTTGGCCCTCTATTATCTGTACTGTTTCTTATCTACATTAATGATCTTTCAGACAATTTTAAATCTAAAGTGGGTCTCTTTGCCAATTACTCACCTTTATACTCCTGTCTTGACAAAAATATAGATATTCCTATATTGAGGAATGGCAACATTCTCTCTGAGTCTTCTTCTTTAAGTCTTCTTGGATTATTATGATCTCTCATGTAAACTTTATATACAATCAATTGCAAAGTTAACTACTAAGATTGCTTTTCTTTAACATGCTTGCCATTATCTTATTCCTGATTCCATTCTCTACCTCTACAAATTTCTTATTTGTTCCTGTATGGTGTACTGTTATCATATTTGGACTGGTTCTTTTAATTTAATTTTTTTATAGATAAAGTTCAAAAATGCATTGCAAACATAGTTTGGCTTTATTTGTCGAGATTGAGTCTCTCTCGTATAAATCATCCTTTAACTCTGTCCCTGCAGATTTGTAAAACTTTTATTGGTTTAGTTTTTTTCCATCCACTTCAGTTCTTTAGAACTCTTTCCCATCTTCATGTTTTTCAGACTCATACAACCAACAGCTTTTCAAGACTTCTGTCAACATTTTCTTGCTCTTTAATTTTATTCTTTGTTTTCTAGTAACTCTAACTTAATAGTGGTTGCTTGCAGCCTTGTTGTGAGTGAATAAAAATAATTAAAAACAATCTGTTAGTTTTTATAATATTTAAGTGTTTGTAATATGTTAGTGTTTACAATGTTACACTTTACAACAAAGTTAAGTTCAATCACTAATATCATTTACAGAAAAAAGTTTAAATTTTAGGAAGTTTTTTAGGGGAAAAATTATAACATATGTTAAAAGTAATCCAAATCATTTTTTCTTTGAGTTTTTTTTTAAAATGTTTTAAAGTAAAGCAAATGTGTCTTTTTAGTCTTTTTTTTTCTTACCCTTTGCATGTTTTTGTTTCCAAAAAGAAAACTTAAAAACAAAAACATGCAAATAAAATTTCAAGTAACTTTAGTTATTTATTATAACCTTATAACAGGGGTGAAAAAATAAGAGTTTTTAAAATTTTTTTTATCAATTTAAAAATATTATCTGTTTTAACAAAATTTTTTACAGTGTTTTAAATTTTATAATATTTCCAATATATAGTAAATTCTACATTATTTAATGTTACAAATAACTCATAAACCATTTAGAAAATATTTTATATGATTATATTCTACTCATAAAAATAAGGCTTGAAAGTAATTAAAAATAGTTTTTAAAAATTAGGGTATTATGTTACTAAACTTTATTTTATATTTTTTTTTATTGTCATATTCCTGCTACATTTCTAAATAATAAAAACAACTTTCTCAGTTATTGTTATTAATTAAAAATGTATCTTGTTATCATTATTTATTTTTTAAAAATCTATATAACAAGTATGTGTGATATTTTCAGACATTTTTTCATATATTTTTTAAAATATATTTATTGCAATAGCAACAATTAAAATCTTATATTTTGAATTTAAAACTTGTTTTAACCTTATAACCAAAATTTAAATATTGGACTAAATAAAGTTTAATCCATTGGACCAAACAAAAGCATTAAAATTTTATTACTTATTTTTAAAGTTTGTTTCAACTGGTCGTGACACAGCCTGTATTAAAGTTCTTAGAGATGTTGAAATTGGCGAGGAACTAGCTTGTTACTATGGTGATGATTATTTTGGTGACAACAATATTTATTGCGAATGTGAAACATGTGAGAGGTAAACATTTATTAACTTTTTGACATTTTTTATGACTGTTAATTCTCATGGAATATATTTATTTTATTTTGTTAAAAATTATAAATTATATTTGTTCAACATCAACAGTATTGAAGACGTACAAAGTCAATTTTCTAACTGGATGCTTGTTTCATTTAAATATGACCAAAATGATGTTTGTCTTGTTATAAAAAATAAGTTTGTATTAATAAAAACTTACTTTAAAGAGGATAGAAAGTCAATATAATAAACTCTAACTCCATTTTTTTAAATTTCAATCAGATCCTTCTTTTACGTTGAAAAAGGATAAGCAGTTGGAAAAAAAGATACTAACTTTTAACTTTTTTATATAAATTTTTCACATCAGTAAACAAACCAGTTGTTGAGAGATAATGTTTGAAACTTTTCAGAAATTTATTTGCGTTAAGCATTTAGATTCTGAATTAATTTTTGTTATTTCATTTAATAAATTTAATAAAGTTTGTCTGGATAAACAGATTTTTTTTCCTAGTTAACTATCAATGCATTGTTATGGAGGCTATTCACTTCAAAATATTTTAAAAATAGTCACTTATATTTTTCACCTTTTAAATATTTTTTGTATGTGTAGATAATGTGGAAAAATTTTAGACTGCAGCATTCATTTTCTTAGAGGTGCTAAAAAGTCACATAATTGATTATAGTTTTATAAAATGCTCAGCAAAGAGTTTTTTTATCTTAGATTTTTTTTTTTTTTTAGTTTTTTTGTTTGATAGCGTCATTTAGTTCAAATACATTATATAAATACTTAAAGAATTATTGTCATCTTTTTAATAATCATTAGCTTAAAGGTTATAGTTAAATAAATTTCATATTTAAAAGGAGAAAAAGTTAGTCTTAAATCCAAGTTATGTTAATAATATAATATCCTTTTCATGGATAAAACTCTTTATTTAAATAATTTTTAATCAATATTTCAAGGTTATTGATACACTCTTTATTGAGTTATAGTATATAAAAGCTGTTATAAGGTGCATATGTTATTTACGTATGTTATAAGTTGTATATGTTATTTACAATTGTTACAAGGTACATGTTATTTACAAATGCTATACAAATGCTATACAAATGCTATATATATATATATATTTTTTTTAATTTATTCACCTACCCAAGGCCCGAGGGGGCCACTACAGTCGAGGAGGCTACTCATTTTTTTTTTTTTTTTTTTTTTGTAAATTGTGGTACAACCCTCTCTCAACTCTTTAACTCCGAAACACGAACCGTGACAAGCAAGACCGCTGCGCGGAGAAATTAAGTTGAGCGCGGTACTTCCAGGGACGTGGTGGGAGTCAAACTCAGAACCGCTCGCTTACAAAGCGAGCGCTCTTACCACTACACCACTACCGCATTATATATAAGGTGCATATGTTATTTACAGCTACTGTAATAAACCTACCGCATTATATATAAGGTGCATATGTTATTTACAGCTACTGTAATAAACCTCTCTTTTAAATTTTTTGACTTAAAACTGTGTAAAATCTATACCAGTGTAGATGTACTAACAATATGTTATAATAATATTTTAATCGCATGCCTAACTTAATATTTATTTACATGGTGTTGTTATTATTAAACAAACCAACTTTATTAATTTATAAAAGCAAACACAGAATGTAAGTTTATCCTCTAGTTTTATCTTTTAGAATATAATCTAGTTACAAATCCTTGGGTTTAGGTCAGCAAAACTTAGGTTTTTGGTGTTGGTAAACAAGAAAAAGCAACATTACTAGGTGCGCTTTCTGGTCTAGTATAACCACCAGGCAGCTTAATTGTTTTCATATTTCAAAATATTTTTCAAATGAAAGAAAAATACAGATAGCTCGATAATAAAATTTTGACAGCGAGGAATCATTTCTGCTTCTCAATTTCATATTTAGGTAATTTAAAAACACAACACTTATTTAGTTCATTATAACTCTCTTAAAAACTTCACATTTTATTTGAATAATGAAAGTAAAAGGTTTTCTAAACAACACCCCAACTTTAATAAAAATAATGGTCTTTGCTAGCTACAACCGAAAATTTCTTTTATATAGTAGGTCTTGATTTTATGTGTGTTTTTAACTAACTTTATATTGTTATATTTAATATATCGTATAGTAGTTTTCAATATAGTAACAAGTTATTTTATTTTTCTTTAGGAGGAAGACAGGTTTTTTTGTCAATTTTAATAATGTAAATTCAAATAACAATAAAGAAAAGTCTTCAGGAAAATATACACTTCGCGAAACTGTCAAACGATTGTCAAGAAAACCAAAAATTGTTGAAGGTAACATACAACAAATTAAATTAACATAGGCAATTTTATTTTTATTGAGTAGTTTTGACCATGAAACTTAATGTTTATACACCTTGTTAATTTTGTTGACTTTTTAGAGACAAGATAGGAGTTATATTTGTTTTGTTTCAGGCCTTAGTTCAATATGCAAAATAAATTTTGTTTAGTATTAGGTTATGCTTTTCAGGTTTTCTTTTGTCTTGGTTCTTGGTCCATACAAGATGATATTTTCCGATGCAAGATCTCGTATGAAAACCAGAAAAACCAAGATTTTACAAAAAAAACAAATAACGTAAAATTTTCGAAAAAATTTGTGTTATTTTAATCAAAAATGAGCAAAAACGTTTTTAATGCACTTTAACTTATGTTATAATAATATTTTAATCGCATACCTAACTCAATATTTATTTACATGGTGTTGTTATTATTAAACAAACCAACTTTATTAATTTATAAAAGCAAACACAGAATATTTATCCTCTAGATGTTTTTAAAAATATTAAAACTAAAAGTTGCTGAAAAATATTGAATTTTTTTTTATGTATTTCTACTAGAAAAATATGTGAAAATGGATGCTTGCAAGGCAATTTAATATATTTTATATATTTTAGTAATCTCGGTTTTGATATTTTTCACATTCATTTTCTCCTTATTCTGAGACCTAGATTGAAAAATGACAGAGATTTCTAAGATCAAAATTTCCGAGATAAGTGAGATCTAAAAGTATAGCATTAGATTTATTTACAACCTGTTATTTTCTCCAAACAATTTGTAATTAATTTTTAATTTTATTTAACACAAGTAAATTTGAAAATTATGCATGATCTTTTCACATCTATAAAGTAAAATTTAGTATAATTCAATTGTAAGGTTCTTTATATCAGTTTTAAGTTTTATATTATGTTTTATATGTTTTAGAAACTTCCAGTTTCAAGTCACTGTATTAACTATTTTAGAAACTTTCAGTCTCATTTCTAGATTTTTTGTTAAAATATTAAAAAGTTTTCTAACAAACTGTCAATTTTTCCAACCAAGTAAATAATGACTTGAGTTGCCATAATCCAATCCTGTAATTCAAAATAATTTCATATTATTTAAATTATATATAATTTCAAGTTTGGATATAATAAATATAGTAAGATACAGAATTTTTTAAAAAGCTTTTTTTAACAAGTTTGCTACTATCAGGGTTAAAGTGGGTGAATATATATATATATATATATATATATATATATATATATATATATATATATATATATATATATATATATATATATATATATATATATATATATATATATATATATATATTATAGTAATATTATCATTGTTATAATTGCTATTATAATAATAATAATAATAATAATTATAATTATTATTATTATTATCATTATTATTAATATAAATATTTATACAGGATATAACATTTCATTACAATTCAATACTGCTATCAATTAGTTTTTAAGTAAAATAAGAAATTAATAAAAATAAAAGTTAGAAACATAAAAATTTAATTTTACAATTTACAGATGTCATATGACTAAGTATTTTGACAACTACTGGTTTTAAACACTTGTCTATTTACAAATTTTATTATAAGCTTTTAATTTATAAAAAAAGTTTTTATTACAAGATTTAAATTTAGGTCAAAATAACCAAGTACTAAATATGGAATGCGAGGAACGATTCGGAAGCAATACTGTATCTACAAAAATGATAATGAAAGATAACCACGTGAAAAAACATTTAAAGTTAGATGATGATACCATAACAAATGAGTTGAAAACGAAATATGCTACTTTTATTGACCTTATACCAGAACTAAAAGATCTCCCTTATTTTGAATTGCTTTTTGTAGAGCGTTTGGAAGGTGTTAAACCAGTTAGATTTTTGGAAAAAGAAAACAATGAACGAATGGCTAAGCAGTTCTTATCTGCTAGAAATGCAAAAAGACCATTTTTACAGCAAACAAAGTCTGATTCTGAGTTATTTTCATGCTACTCTGAATCTGATTCAGATGCTAATTCTTCCTATGGGATACAATATAAAGCCGAATTAAAAATAACAATATCAAAGATACCAAGCCCAGTCAAGCCAAGAGCTTGTAAGCGTTTGCAAACAAATCATAATTTTCATCTCAATCCACCATTTTTAAGAATTGCCAGAATTCAAAATGGAAGTCGCTCATCAAGACGATTGCAAGAAATTGAGAAAATCATGTCCAAAAGAATCAGAAAAAAAAAACACAAAAACTGCTTCTGCTGCAACTGACGAGTTTAAAATAATGCATTATATAAGACCTTTATATCATAGAGATTATAAATAAATTTATTTATTGAAGTTATACAAATTAATTTACTTTTTGTAGTCAATTTTAATTATGCATGCACGCAATGATAACAATTAAGATATAGTTACTGTGCATACAATTCGTACAATTATTTTAAAGTTTAAATTTTACTTTACAATTAGATTTTAATTATAGTAAAGTTGTTACATAGAAATTCTGTACATTATTTTTCTTTTAAACTATTTATAATATTTATTTATGTTTTGTGCACTTGTGGCTTACCTGTGGATTGCCGGATATATTTTATACTGGATTTTATAAGTTCTATAATTTTATTCTGTGAAACTGCATTTATATTCTAAATGGCTAGATATCTATGTAATTTTTAAATTGTCTTATTTATATTTGTTGTAATATATATATATATATATATATATATATATATATATATATATATATATATATATATATATATATATATATATATATATATATATATATATATATATATATATATATATATATATATATATATATATATATATTGTAGATCTATGTTTGTAATTTAGATATTCATATTAACTGCGATTACTTGTTTTTATTTTAATTACTTATGTGAGTTTTTGTTAGAAATGTAACCATAACATGTTAAAATTAAAAGATTATTTTAATTTATATATTTAATATATATGTGTGTGTGTGTGTGTGTATGTATATATATATATATATATATATATATATATATATATATATATATATATATATATATATATATATATATATATATATATATATATATATATATATATATATATATATATATATATATATATATGTATATATATATATATATATATGTATATAATAAATATATAAGTTTTAATGTATATATATATATATACATATATATATATATATATATATATATATATATATATATATATATATATATATATATATATATATATATATATATTAAATATATAAATTTTTATTTATATATTATACATACACACACACACATTTATTTTGTATAACAATTTAAAAAAATTCTCTTGTTCTTTTAAAAATGTTCGGTATTATGTAAGCAAATGTTTTAGATGCGAGATATTCAATAAATATTCAAATAAAAAAATACAATTTTTTGAAGTTACTCAGATCATTTTTATATCAGTCATATATTTTTAAAACAAGAAAGTAAAAAACCGTTAAAAATTCAGATGAAAAATCTGACGTCAAAAATCGATTACACCGTTTGAAAATTTTGACTTTTTTGGTTACGAAACATCCCGAAAAAATCCTCTTAGGGTATGAAACTACACATGTCAAGAATACTATATCAACTTACTTTGAAATCCAAAATTAAAATCCGAGAGAGATATTTTGATTTAAATTTTTGAAATAATATAAAAACATTAGCAGTTTTTGTTTTTGAAAATAGCGGTATTGGGGTGGGTCGTAGTGATTTTTTTAATAAAATAACTTTTTTAGACAACTAATTTGTAAAGATTTCGTATTTAATAAATTTTTTTGAGAAATGAGCTATAAGGGGAGATATTTCCATTTCAAGTTTTGAATCGATTAATTTTTGAATCGCGAATTACGATGAAAAATTTGATACGTGAATTGCCGTAAATTTGTACTTTCCTAAAATTTGTACTCTTCGGACATTTCCAATTTTACGGACTTTTTGTACTTTTAGTACATTTTCATACGTTTTATGACCTCTTTGTACTTTATGAATTAGTTTAAATGATATCTTCAAACAGATCACAAGTTCATCTCAGATTTTGAAATGCCTACTTTTTCAAAGGATCATAATCAATGTTGGCAGGTCGTTTGCACACTTTGTATGAAAAAAAAGTGACAGAGAAATTTCAGAATATTTCATCAGTGAAATCAAAAGATTGATTTCTGGCAACATCAACTTTGATGATGAGAGGGTTCCACGAGGGATCTGTGTCATCTGTAGGTTCCTGCTTAGAAAGTTAGCTTCTGGAGATGAAGAAGTGAGTATACCTCAACTTTATGACTTCGAATCCATATTGATCAAACCATCAACTCGCCAGACAACTAAATGTGATTGCATCATTTGTCAAATTTCAAAAACCAAAGGGAAAGGAAAGCACCCCTTTGAAAAACCATCTCAGCAAGAAGTGCAAAAAGAAGAAAAATCTTTTGAAAAACGATGCACAAAATGCCTATCTGTCATTGCTCGAGGACTGCCTCATAACTGCAAAGAAGCAACACGTCGTGAAAACTTGAAAGCTCTGGCATTGGCAGATCCGTTAGGGGCAGAGCAAATTGCATCATTCATCGTTTCTTCCAAAGAGGTATCTTCCGATGGAACTATTCTGATTAGCCGGTTTCATGGAAAGCCTCTTGAAATCAGACCAGGTATGTTAAAGTATTGTTGCTGGGTTTGCTTTTTAATATTGGTTTTTTTCTTATTTGTTTCTTTATTCACAGGATCAAATGCAACTCAGGGTCTCTCCTCAGAGCCATTGACAACACAAGATATGATTAATATTCAGCAAAACATTGGACTTTCTAACAATGGAATGAGAAAGCTTGGGTCAGCTTTAAATCAAATAAGTCCTGTTCGCATAGTTGAGGCCAATTTTCAACAAAAATTTGCTGCAGCTGAAACTACCCTCAAAAGTTTCTTTACAGTAACCACTTCACAGTTACCAGAATCAAATGAAACACGCCATATTGTTCACTGCACAAATTTGGAAACCCTCAAAGAAAATATTGTTTCATCCAGAGGCTTGCAAAACTCAAACTTCTTAAAGCTTGGCATTGATGGTGGAGGATCATTCTTTAAGGCAAGTTTGAGTCTTATCAGTGAGCATGAAGGAGAACCTCACAGTCCTGTTCAGAAGAAATCAAAATTGATCACCAAAGACAACTTCAAAAACACAAGTGTTCAAAAACAACTGATTGTTACCATTTCAGAGAACACACCAGAGACTTACCCAAATGTTAAGCACATTCTGGATCTTCTCCAAATCAATGAAATCTCCATTTCAGAAAAACTTGTTATTTCTTGTGACATGAAGCTTGCAAACATAGTTTGTGGAATCCAGTCACACAGCAGTAAGCATCCTTGCTGTTGGTGCAACATAGACTCAGCACATTTGGAAAACTGTGGTCAGCTTAGAACATTCGGGGGCATCAGAGACTTGTACAAAAAATTTGTGAAGTCTGGTTGTGATGCCAAAAGATCAAAAGAGTTTGAAAATGTGGTTCATTTGCCAATGTTTGCCTTTCCAGAGAGGGAATTGATCCTTGAGACAATCCCACCCATGGAACTGCATTTGCTCCTGGGAGTTGTCAACCACCTCATCAAGTACTTGGTTCAAGTTTTTCCAAAGACCAAACAATGGTTGGATTCAATCCACATTCAGATGCAACCATTTCATGGTGGCCACTTCAATGGAAAAGATTGCATGAAAGTGCTGAGGAAAATTGAAGAGCTTATGCAATTGACAATTGCTGAAAAAGCACCAGATGCAACAAAGGCATGCCAAGCATTGAGCTCATTTCACCAGGTTGTGGTTTCATGCTTTGGATACACTCTGTTGCCAGATTATGAGGCAAAAATTTGTGATTTCAAAGATAACTACTTGAAATTACCAGTCTCAGTCACACCAAAGGCACATGCTGTTTTTCATCACGTTCAACAATTCATTCATCAGCACAAGGTTGGTCTAGGTGTATTCAGTGAGCAAGCAACAGAAGCTCTTCATTCAAATTTCAAGACCCACTGGCAAAGATTCAAGCGAAACTCTACTCATCCGGAATATTCCAGTCAACTCCTCAGTTGTGTAGTTGATTACAACAGCAAAAAAGTTTAGTTGTAAAGAAAGAAAATAAAAGACTCCTCATTTTCAATTTGGAGAAACTCAGTTTGTGTGTGTGTAAAGAATGTATTTATTTGTCAAAAGAAAAATTTATGAAGTGAGAAATTTTGATTATATCAAAAAATTGAAAGATGGTTTTCTAAATATTTTCAAATAAAATTTTAAAATTGTGAATATGAATTATTGTCAAAAATGGCATATTTTCTATCTTAATTTTACTTTTTAAATTAGTTAGGCTGTATTAGGACTGATATGACCCCTTTTGTTAAGGGCAGGTTGTAACCAACTTCTATCCATTTGGTGAAAATATTGAATATTTTCAAATCAAAATATCTCTCTCGGATTTTAATTTTGGATTTCAAAGTAAGTTGATATAGTATTCTTGACATGTGTAGTTTCATACCCTAAGAGGATTTTTTCGGGATGTTTCGTAACCAAAAAAGTCAAAATTTTCAAACGGTGATTACGTGAATGTCTTTAATCTAAATTTAACATATGTGGATCTGTTTAAAAGAGTATTTTATTTCGATTTCTACATTTTGATATAATTTTATGCAGTTTGTTAAAAAATGTTTGGCAATCAAGTTTAAAATGCATTTTCCCATATTTGGTGTCATTTCTAAAAAGAGGGCTGTACCAAATTATTTTACCTGTTTGGTTACATGTTCCCAGACAAATTAAATGATGTTCTCAGACAGTGCAATCGCTAAAGAAATGACATAGAAGCGCACCAAGGCCGCTTATGTTATGCAGTACGGTATTGCTCATTTTGAGCGAGTTGAAGTTGTAAGTATTTGCAAAAATTCTCTATAATCGTTGATGAGAGTACTGACGTCTTAACTAATCAGATGTTGGCAGTCGTGTGATTCTGTGACACAAAATCAAGAAAAGAACACTCTGGGCAAATGCTTCTAGCAATCGGCTTTCATCGTGGCTTGAAGCTTTTGTAAAGAATGTTTGCTTCTATTTTTCACGTAGTAGGAAAAGAAAGCATGAGTTCTAGTTGATACAAGATGTAGTTCAAGGCCAGCAACATAAAGTTTAGAAGCTATGTGAAAGACGTTAGCTGTTCCAAGAAGCGGTCATCGAGAGAATTATATACTTTTAATTACTATAACTTTTATAAACCATACACTTTTTCATAAAAAAAACACAAGAAGAAAATCTTCCTCTCAAGTTGCCGAACCTATTTATAAATGATAAATTAATTTAAAAGCAATCCAATATAAGATTCTTGGGAATCGTTGTTGATGAAAAATTATCCTGGCTTCCTCATATAATATAGTCAAAAATTACCAAATTTATAGGTTTAATGTATCGAGTTTGCTCGTACATCAATACAAATAGTCTTAAATTAATCTACTTTGGGCTAATTCACAGCCTCATCAGCTATGCAAACATTTCATGGGCAAGTACTCAAACAGCAAAGCTTAAGAAACTTTATAGTTTTCAGAAACATGCCTGTAGAATCATTTACTTTAAAAATAGGCGGGAACACGCTAATCCCTTGATGAAAGATATGAA